GCGACGTCGTCGGCTCCTTTAAAGGCTCGGCTAATAAGATAAAAGCGCAATCGTTATTTCCTCTTTAACTCGAGACTAAATGGACTTGGTAAGAAGAGCTCTCTGATGGGCACCTGAATGTGTGTTAACTGGGGCTTTCATTCCCCCTTTGTATTGGGGAAATGCATGGCATTATACGAAAATGGCTACAATTACGGTTTAGTAAATAATCCCCGATTGCTGATGCGGAGACCAGCGAGCCTGGCGCTTCCTGGCCAGAAACAAATAGCCACATATCCTCCGCAGTCTGAAATCATGCCGCCCTCTCCCTGTCTCCCCAAAGAGACCGTCTGCCTGCCTCGCTCCTCTCGCCCAGCGGAAACCCCTTGTAATGTGATGGAGCCATTCTACAGTATTGCACCGTGGAGCGCGCAGACCAGTCGGGAAAGCGCAGCCCTGCCTCCTCATTCTTCCAAGTTTCCAGATTTACCCATAATCATGGGCGTAGCCGGGGGGGGGGAGGCAGGGGGGCAACTGCCCCCTAGGTCAAGTAAAACAATAGAAATACTTAACTAACTGACCAATCAATGTCGTTCTGTCCCCCCTAACCAAAGTCCTGCTCCTCCTAGCAAAAATCCTGGCTATGCCCATGCCCATAAGGCTCACCGTAAAAACAACAACTCAGTGCCCTTTTCTGCCGCAAGGGTAGCTAACGCGATGCCCTCCCCTGCAGCTCTCTCATCCCTGAACATTGCTTGTGCTAGCGGCGCTGATAAATGGTTGTAGGTCAAAGATTCGCAACCGCACCATGTTGACTGTCTTTGCAATATTGCTGGCTTTGGACAGCTACCCCGAGATAACATAGGTACCATCTCGCAGCGAAGATTGTGGGTGCCCGCAACAAAGGGCTTCAACTTTGCGCATTGACTTTGAGGGGCTCCAGCCCCCACAAATATATTATATTATTATTATAAATATATTATATTATTGTGGGTGCCGAAGCACCCACAGATCCCTAGAGATGGCTCCAGTGCGAGATTACACTTATTCCAGTAATGTGGAAAACAATCGCCCCAGTCCTTTTCCCCAGCTGCATCTGTTTTCCCCAGCTCCATCCAAGTGAATGGAGAAGGAATAGTCGGTCACTCATATGGAGGAGATAACCATTCACTCCTATGGAAGAAATGGCCATGCACTGGTATGGGGAAACTATCCGTTTATTCATATGGAGGAACCATCCATTCATTCGTATGGATGAAATGTCCACTCACTCGTATTGTCTCAACTGTGGATTGTGGTTGGTGGTGGAACACGCAATGACTTCCCCAATATGGGCGGAGCCCGGCTGGTAGGTCTGGAAGGAGACACTAGCCCAGCTGCTCCAAAGCAGGATGTCCCAGTCGCCACACCACCCATATTTGCCTATAGAAGAAAAATTCATTGTTGTAAAGCCAAATCCAGGCCTATGAACAGAATATGAGCCACCTAAGGAAACCTCGGGCCCTCCGTCCAGAAGAGACAAATGAGAGTACTGTAAATAAAAACTCCCAGCTTTCGTATGTATGTATGTATGTATTACAAGGCTCCCTCCCGCCCCGAAATATAACTGGACTTTTTATCCAAAACGGTTGATAGAATGCCTATTGCATTGATTTAGAACCTAGCAGGTGATCTGATTTCAATGCGCCTTTAAGCATACAGGTTTGATTTATAATATCGGCCACGGTCGGTTCTATGGAGAATTGCCCTTGTTTTGGCATCTAAACCTACAGTACACGCTCACAGATTGACTGTCGTGAGTCGCCATTTCCTCGGTTTCCATCTTGTCGCTGTCTGCCTTTACGCATTCCGAATTAGTTACGTGCCATTCCTCTCCCTCCACATCTACCAGTTCGCACAACTATAATCTCAAAACTATAAATTCGGAGAGAATTAGGGCTAAAGAAGAACACGCACGACTTCGGGGAGGCTGAAGTAGCAATCCAGGAGCTGGTTAGAGGGGAAGTGGATTAGGTCTTACTGCTGTCTTTCCAAACCTGTATATTCCTGTTAATCTGAATTGGGAGTCCTATGCACGTCTACTCGGAAGAAAGGTCCACCGAGTACAACGGGGCTTACTCCCAGGTAAGTGGGTATAGGAGTCCAGCCTTAAATCAGCGCAGATTCTAGATCAGGTGGTGCTCTCCCATCCGACGTAAAATTCAGTTTAATAGAGTCGCATTGAGGATGTTTAGGGAAAGCAAGCTTTCCTGCAGGACTTTTCCCTGCGTCCGATTCCACCCCCACCCGCTTTCCCTTTGGAAATTCAATCTACAGCTAGGTTACCCCGTTTCCCATTTGTGCAGATAAAGACCCGGGGTAGTTTGAAGCGCTCCGATGGGGGTTGGTAGTGGTGGCGATTAAATCCCTGTTTCCTTTTTTACTCAAGCCAAACAACTGGTGGAAATCTTGCCCAGGGCAAGAAATGACGATCGAGTTGTCGTCCCAGAGAGCTAGGCAAGTGAGATGCGCGCGCGTGTGTGAACACAGTTACTTTGATTCATGACTGCGGACTAGGAGAGGGAGGGGTTTTGTAATAGCACAAACATTCCCCATTCAGAGCTGCAAGCGCGGGATCGGAGCAGTCGGCGTGGGTGGAAAGGCGATCGATTCGGGGGGCGATCAGAAGAAGAAGAAGAAGAAGAAGAGTTTGGATTTGATATCCCGCCTTTCACTCCCTTTAAGGAGTCTCAAAGCGGCTAACATTCTCCTTTCCCTTCCTCCCCCACAACAAACACTCTGTGAGGTGAGTGGGGCTGAGAGACTTCAAGGAAGCGTGACTGGCCCAAGGTCACCCAGCAGCTGCAAGTGGAGGAGTGGAGACGCGAACCCGGTTCCCCAGATTAGCAGACTACCGCTCTTAACCACTACACCACACTGGCTCCATCAGCACTTCTGCATCCATCCATCAGCACTTCTGCATTGGCTGATGGATTGGTCTAAAGGGCCTCTACGCACGGAGACTTTGGAACATCCAGTCCCTGCCCGGGGCCGCCTGCTTCCGGGTTGGAGAGAGCGCGGCGCTAGGACCCCCCTTGCTCCTCCCAGAGAGGATGGCTCTGAATGCCTCCTGCGCCCGGGAATCCTCCGAGGATCTAATTAACAGGTAGAATCGCCCCCCGGGTGCCTGAAACCTCCTTGGCAGGCGCCATAGAAACGGAGCCTTAAGACCCCGCGCCATCTGCACTTCCCTTTCATTGTGCAAAGCTCTCTTGGAAAGCACTTTCTCTCCTGCTTCGTGCAGCGGGCGCCTCATTCAGTTCCCCTTCGGCTGCCCATTAATAAGGACCCCCACCTTTCATCTGAGGGATACGCAGAGTCTTTTTGTTTAAATAAATAAATAAAAAGGGGGAATAATTAATAATAACGCACTCGACTCCCCATCAACGGCTTCCCAAAAAGCTCTGCGGGTTATATATAACCTGAGCGATTCAAATGGATTTGTCTCTACTTGAAACAGACGGTATGAACAGAGAGCCCAGCCAGACCGCATGAAATAGTTTCGAACCGTCGAGCAAGCAAGCGAACGAGTATACTGCGTTTCAGTGATGTGCAAAAAACAACAGGGCTTTCATATATGAATCTTAATGCCTGAATAATAAGATCTGGAAACAACGCCAGGAACAAGACATATCATAAAGTGTAACATTAAAAGCAATAATAACAATGTAAAAACAGGAGATTCGTGTTTTGCTAACACGAACCCGTGGGTTTCGGTCCGACGAAAATGTGTACAATTATTAATCTGCTAACTGAACAGTAAGTACTACTAGTAGAGTATGATTATTATAATCAATAATCAATTTAGTTAAGCTGAAGCATTTAACTGAAAGTCAGTGTTGTGTTTTTTATTACTTCAGCTATCAAAATACTTCGTTTCAACTGGGCTTGGAAGGGAGTATGGACTCCCCGCCCCCCCTTTTTGGTTGTCATTGTTATAAGTAGCCTTGGGCGCTGTATGTTGAAACTGAAAGACGGGACATGAACCGAAATGATCGATAATAAACGATGACCGTTTAAAGAATAATCTCAGATTTCGGGTTAAAATGGCAGTGATTTCAACTAGAACAGAGTCACACACCCAGCAAAACAGCGTTTAGGCTGCAATCCCATAGCCAGGCATGGCCAAACTTGCCCCTCCAGATGTTTAGGGACTACAAGTCCCATCATCCCTGACCACTGGTCCTGTTAGCTAGGGATGATTGGAGTTGTAGTCCCAAAACATCTGGGGGGGGCCAAGTTTAGCCATGCCTGCCACAGACCCTTCTTTGGGAGCAAGTCTCATGGGATTTAGTTGCACAGAACCGTTGGTGGGTTTTATTCCGGACTGAACTGAAATGTATTCATTTGGAAACTTGCGGCGAAAGACCAGAAATCCTTGGTAGGGAGAGCGAGAGACTCTGCCAGGGATGGTGTGTCCAGTAGTGCCCTCAAAGCAGGACTTTGGAGCAGAAATGCCAGGCGCTACACAGAACTCCATCTAAAGATGGGCTGGAGGAGAGGCCTAAAAGCAGAGTCCTGACTGTATGTACCACTGGAGGTGCCCTGCCTTGTCTCCTAAGCGTGAGAGAATTCCCCTTCTGTTCAGTTCGTCTAACACAAAAACAGTCTGTCGCTCCACCAACAAAGATTGGCTGCAAAGCCAAACTATTCTGGCCTCTGAGTCTGCGCCCACGTACTGACGGATGGGGAGCACCACTCCGCACTGCGCTGCTACGCTTTGCACCATAGCGGGGTGGGGGTTGAGCTCCGCAGTGTGGCTCATCGAGGTTTCCCCCAGACAGGAGGCTGTTTCTTTCCAACAGTCCATGCAGGAAAAGAAGCAGCCCTGAGCCAACAACAGGTCCCCGCGGCTCTCTGCCTCTTCCCTTGTCAGCAGAAACACCAACCATAGAATAACCCAACACCATGCGGAGCAGACATCTCGCTCTTTGTTTACTTACTTCGCACGTGGAGGAGGGGAGAGATCGGGTTGCCATTACCTGTTAGCTGCCAGCCTGGATGAAATATATCCCCCGGGGATCTGCGTGATTATATAGCCCCAGAAAAAAGAACCGTGGATCATGCCAACCGTCTCCGGATCCCAGTTAAACTTCGCTTTCTTCCGAAAGCGACCAAGCCAAGGAAAGGAAAGACAGAGGGAAGAAAAAGAAGATGCGTTGTAAGCAGTCATTTAGAAAGGACAGGTCGGTGCTAAGCCAAGGTCCACGGAGGGTACCTGCAGCTGTCAGCCACGGAATATGAATGTGGTTTCCCATGACGCTGCTAAATTCAACAATTAGCCCAAACAAACACATTGGGGGTTTTAAAGGATGGGGATTGCTAACGTCTCTGTAACCTATATATTCTTAATTGCTTTTCATTATTAATTATTAGTAGTATTTATATTATTGTACTAGGAGGATACTGTACTCTGGGACGTCATGATTCCAGCATATTGGGGAGTAGAGGGGGTCGAATATATTTGAAAAGGGTCACAAGTGGATTGATGAATCTCCTGGGCGATCGCCAGGTTCAAATCAAACATAATGTTCAAAAGCTTCCGAACACAACAGTGTTTGAAACGGATCCGTCCAGCAATTTATTTCACTGTATAAATAAGATACCTTTGCCACTTGGTTACTTTGTGTTAGTCTTTTTTTCCCCCTGGGAGAAATGGTTGGGGACGGCGGTGGGGCGTTATTTTGTGAACCATTTCACGTTCTCGATTACTATGTGGTGATTTGTTTGTTTTTCTATTGGACACAAACACCTTGCTATTTTTCTCACCAAAGAAAACGATTATTAAGGAGAAAATCTTGTTGAAGCGACGTACATTTATCCGCCTATAAGCTAACCTTCACCTTCCCTCCGAATTAGGGGTTTGATACAGATTTGCTTCGCTTTCTTCATATTCTTAATAAAGATTCCCTCCCTCGCTTTTTAAAAACCAAGACGGACCTGATTTGACAATCGCGATGTAAAAAACGATTGATGGACCGTCATCTCCTTAATTCCGAAGTTTCCAGAGAGCCAGGGGGGAAACAAACCTCTTTCGTCCTTTTTGGCCGCTTGGTGTAATCATCATTATTTATTAGCCATATAAGTATGTTTAAGGGTCTAAAATAGCAGTTGTCCAGAGGGGCCACCTCTGCCCTGTTCCCTATCGATTTTGGCAAGTGCGGAGCGCAGACGCTGCCATGTAACGGCTGAAGTCTGATCTTGGGACCAGCTCTGGATTTGAACTGAAGAAGCGAAAGCAGGAAGCGGAGCACCATGATCCGACTCGGGGTGGGGTGCGGGCTCCTGGACTCCTTTCACCCCCATTCGCAGCTGAATAATTTAGGATTTTCAATCGATTGCGTTTGCGGTCCTCCTGACCACACCTAATTGGAAGTTCAATTGAACTCAATGGGACCTGCTTCCAGGTGTGCCTTGGGCTGCAAGGTCCGTGGAGCTGCTCGCCTTCTAAAATATAATTGTGTGTAAGAGAGTGGGGGAGCTACATCTTTTATTTATGGGTGGGGCACCCTAGGTTCAAAGCCCCACTCAGCCAGGAAGCTCATGGGATGATATCTCGGGCCAACTACGTTCTTTCTCGACCTCATAGGGTTGTGAATATAAAATGCTTGGGGAGCGAACCATGTAAGCCGTTCCGAGCTCCAGGGAAAGAAAGCAGTAGGAGAAGCCAACAGGTACACCAAATTCTCATACCAACGACAACAAAACTGAGTCTGGTTTTAAACGGGGGAAGAAAAAAGAAACAGGAAATGAGGCGGGTGAATGAATTGGAACGAGAGAAAGAGGAGGAAAAAATGGATCAAAACCAAATGAATGGATTCATCTCTCCTTGCAATGTTTTTTTAAGTTCTGCTTAAAGAACCTTTCCCTAAACACTGAAGTCAGACGATGACATACAGGCCACCTCTCTTAGAGTCTAGCCCATGTTCTTAAAATGGACGCCTGAAGGGCGTTTGGGAGTCGCGATGGTGCAGGTGGAAGAGGAGAACTGTCTCAACGTCTCTCTCTCTCTCACCTCTTTGATGACTTTCCCTCCTCGGTGTATAGTGCTGTTATTGACCATGTCCACGATGGCTACTCCCAGGTTACAGCGGATCCCAAAAGAGATGCAGAAGCCCAGTCCGCTCATGATGGCGATGATATATCTCCGCGGGAGCCCGAAGCAGGTGCAGTCGCACAGGGGCGCCTTCTTCTCGGGCTGCTCCAAGGGTTTCCCATCTTCTGTCAGCTCGATGGTGTCGCCGGTCTTCTGCTTCTTCTCGAGGACTCTGCCCAAACCAAAGAGGACATGATCTCAGTCAAGGGACTCCAATCCCCTGGCCTCGTTTATCTTCGGGATTTTATTTTTGCCCGGGGTGGGTGGCAGAGGTTAAAGCAAGGGCAGGTAGATTCAGGGCTTAATCTGAACCAGGAGTGTGCCTTAAAAATCAATTTAGCGAGTGCTAAACCTCGCTGGGGATATGTAGAAACATAGTGTACTGCTTTCCACTTAGCCAGGTCCTTGATCCGCCTAGTTCAGGAAGTACTGTCTACCCTCAGGGAGAGTGACTTTCCAGCGCTTCAGGCCCAAGAATGAACCAGGGCCCTTCTGTTGCAGATGAGATCTGCCCTACATTAAAGTTTGGAAAGGGCAAGGGGGCTTCGGCACACGTTTATTTCCCTCACCACTGACAAATATCCCGCCACAACACCCGAGAGGTTGGCAGGCGTGATTTAGGAAACGTTTCCATCTCCTGCGTGGGTTTCACAAAGCAATTCAATGAGGCGCCCCTGCCAGGCTTCTGCTTCCTTCCCCCTCCCCTCCATTCCTTATGTGTCTCCTGATGTATGGGAGGCGTTCGACTGCGGAGACGCCATGTTGGGCTACTTTGCAACCAGAAACATATCCTGGAAAGGGGGGCCGAAACCCACGTCTGCTTGCCTTTTAGAGAGAGGGCTTTAACTCTCTTATAAAGTGGGGGTTGGGGGTTGGAGTGTGCAAGCCCATGAGGCCCGGTGAGGCCTATTGAGAAGGGAAAGGGCGTCTTTTTTCTTTCTTTCAGAGGCGACGGCCAGTTGTCTGGTTTTTCTGCCAGCACTCAAAATGGCCGCCTGGCGCTTTTTCAGTCAGCCGGGCCTGCACTCCAGCTACATCCCAAGGCGGCCGCGAATGAAGGCCTTCCCTGTCGGGCAGCCCGCGCTTGGAGGCTTAAAAGACACCGAGGAACGTGTCATGGGCGCAGCGGCTCCCTCGGTGTGGAAAACTGAGCGCTCCCAAGCAAGGCTTCCCTGCTTTCGAGGACCTCAGAAGGTCGGTGGGTGGGAATAAGCAGGCAATGCATAGGCGAGCCGAGCGCCCTTTCTCTCACTGCTGTCATGGCAAATGGGGAGGGATCTGAATGGCCACCCCAACGTTCCTTAGCAATATTGAATTCCCATTGATTCCCGCTGCTGTTTCTCACCCTTCCAGTTGCGCGCCTGCCTTAATTTCCCTTAGTTTTTCCATCGGGGGGGAAACGTTTTCCTTTCACAAAAGGAAGCCTTGGAAATGGGATCGAAATATTATTCCGTTTGTCTTTCGGTTTGCAAATCCGATATTCCATTGCAGGGATTTCCACCCCCCTCCGGTACTACTTTTAGAAATTTCGGACAGGAGTGCAGCAGTGACCTTCACTCCTTCGAGATCTAGGTCAGTAAAGACAGATTGGTTAAGATCTAGGAACAGGACCGGCTGATTTTAGGATCAAAAGTGTTTTTTCTCTACATCACGGAGATCCGAGCTGGATCCTGTGCCAGTTGAGCGAATTAACAGCGCAGTCCTAAACATGTCTACCCAGAAGTAAATCTTATTGAGTTCAATGGGGATTACTCAGAAGTACGTGGGTATGGGGTTTAATTTTACTCACATATTCCTTTACTGGCTAGTTTGGGGAGAGAGATGCAAGTTGTTTTTCCCGTTAGAATCAACGATTGTCTATTATCTATTAGTTTGCCTGGATGAGGGGAGATTGGGATTGGGTTTTGGATGATGTGATATGGTGTATTTTACTATGCTCTGCGTGTGTGTGTGTGTGTGTGTGTGTGTACACATACTATGCATATATCGAGTTTCAAGGAATTCAGTCCTTGACCTTAATTGCATAACACAATATAACATAGCATAACATCAAATAACCGATCCTAATCTCATCCAGGCAATATCAGAAATAACACATAATAGCTGATGTTTACATTGCCTTCTCATACAGTCATGCAAATATTCCTTCCCAACACTTATTATTGTATGCCTAGAAAAGAAAGAAAAAGAAAAAAAGACTTGTAGAAACAGAAAGGTAAAGAGGCAATTCTAAGATCAAGACGAGAAAACTAGATCCTGTTTTTCCCGCGAAGCCTAATGTGAAATTAAGCATTCCTAGAGTTAATTTGACATTTTAATACAATATTTGTTTTTAAAAACCATGAAAAAATGCACAGTTTGTATATCTCTTTATTCTCGAAGACAGCTTTGTAAAATTATTTAAGACTATAGCGGGAGTATTAGATTGTCATACAAATCAGCATTTTGCTTTTATTATATTTCGTTGGTGTCCTCTTCCTCTCTAGTAAAAATAAGGCGTTATTTACGTGGATGGGCATGACAGCAAATACGTGGGATGGTGTGTGTTTGTGTGTGTGTGTGTGTGTTGTTTGTTTGTTTGGGGTTGTACAGCCAGCTCTTAAAATAAAATTACTGCATACCTTTTGGCTTATAAATTAGTACAGCCCTCGTTTTCTAGATGTTACCCTAAAGTAGCCTAATATTCTCCAATAAAACAACGCTTCGATTGCCGCAATGGTGGCTTTGCTCAACCAAAGGTGACCTTCCTATTCAGGTATTAACCTGCCACTCTGAATGTGCATAAGGTGAAATAGTAATTATTATTTTTTAAGATTAATAAATTAATCAATTTGGCATTGTCTTTTCATTCTCAAATGCTATTATTTTAACTACCAATTAGTTTCGTTTTGATTTTGGTTTAATTAAGGGGGAGGCTGCAGTATTTTCACGAACCATTGATATCGAATTCAGATGTATTTTTGTAACTAAGGTTTGCTGCGGTACTTTTTCAAACAGTTTCTTTTGTAGTACATTTCTGTGTAAGGATAAAGGGGTGGTTCGGTAGGAGGACACACGTTTCCCTCAGTGTCTCTTTCCTATGGTCTACCTTTTATGTGTGTTCCAGAAAGAAGACATTAGATTATCAATTATTTATGCATCTCCATGTTTTTCTTCGTCTGAAGGGCGAATACACTGGGGAATGGGGAATCCAAATCGAAAACCGTGCTAATTCTTCCTTGGGGGGAGGGGGGAAACTTTCTTATAAATAAATTGTAAACTAAAACCCATACAGTTCAAAGGGGTCCCCCCCATAAAAGAAAACATTTTCTACATTGCTCATTGTGAGGTTCTACATACACAGAACAAAATGAATAAATTACCCAACACTGGTATGATTTTTCTGACTGTGTTTCTAAGATAATGTCTGGAAACAAATATATTGAAACCACTAGTGCCTGCTTCCCCATAGAAGGGTGTTAAATGCTTAAATATCAAAACCATTTGGATACCATTTTGTTGAAGTTAAAGCCCGAGCTAGCAAAACCCAAAGAGCACAAATAATACCCACGTTTGGCCACAGCTGTATGTGAAATTATCCTCGTATCAGAAGTGAAGTCAGGAGCCACAGTTTAAGAAGCTCCACAATGGTAAATATGCTTACCTGTAGAGTTGACCCAGCGATTTCCCAGCTAAATTTTTCAGCCCCTCCTTGCCAGGGGTCAGGATCCTTTGTTTTACGGACTCCATTCCTGCAAAGGTTTTAACTGGCGTTCACTTGGTTGGCTAGGGCACCCTTATAAACAGTGATGATGGCTCATATTGGTTCCATGTCTAACTTTTCTCCATAAAATGGCTATTGGTGTGCATCCAGATAAAGAGGTGTGTGTGTGTGTGTGTGTGTGTGTGAGAGAGAGAGAGAGAGAGAGAGAGAGAGATTCTCTGTATGCGTGTATGTGTGTAACTGTGGGCAAGGAGGAAAGGAGGAGAGCCAGCGCCAGAAAGAGGAGACGATTGAGTGTCTACATACAGCCCACAGATTTCTGAATAGAACAGAAGTTGTGAGACACAACTAGAAGGTCTTCCTGGAGGTGAAGGATCCACTAGCAAAAGGTGCAGGAGGAGCCATGGCGAGTTTGAAAAAAGAGAACCGCCTGGATTCAAAGTCCAATTTGTAAGTAAAATCCTGGATTGGTGCTGATTAGTTTACTGCATTTGGGATAGGTAGAGGTAGTGAGTCGTCAGACGATGTAGACTTCAAAAGAGGATGATGAATACAAACCTTCCCAGTGCCTACTTCATGCCAATTTGGGTGAATCCCTGATGATTGTGTTACAAACTCTGGCACTGGTGTGCAACACATCAACCAGTTGCTCCAGTGCTGGAAAGAGTGGTCTAAAGCAGAGTTGCAGGGGTCACACCTTCAGACGTAGTTGACAATTCTTCGCCACCTTCCTTCACTGCCGCGCCTCCCAGAGAGATTTCAGCACCATGGATAGCGCACAAGGACCAGAGCGTGCTCCGAAATGTTTTCAGCACCACGGAGAGAGCAATCGGAAGCTTTCCTCCACCATCAGTGTTCCAGGGGAATTGGGCGGGCTCATTACAATGAAGTCAATGAAGAGCGGATGCCATGGAAACCAAAGAGGAGCCGAGTCAAGGTCTCTCCGTCTCCAGGTTTTCCAGAGAGCAGTGTACTTCTCAAAGAAAACGGGGGTTTACGAGACGCTGACAATTAACTTTCGGATTCCCATGTTTGACTCCCTTTCCTGACGCATTGACTGACCCAGTTGCGCAGTACAAGCACTAGAGCACATTTCAGCAGCTTTTGCTGCAGTATAGCAAAATAAACTGAACACTTCCTCCCTAAAAAGACACCATTTTAAGCAGTGATCTGCAAACAAAGCAGCAAATCATCTGAGATTTAGTGAAAGCTATAATAAATAGATGAGTAAGGCCACCTCTCAGATTGTATAATTAGGAAACCATTGAATCTTTATTTTATGGGCATAATATTTTATGACATTTCTTTACTATGGACTGGTCGTCCATAGTATCTATCTTTGATGTGTGTGTGTGTGTGTTTCCTTAATATTTAATATTTTATCTATTCTTCCTAAACAATAGGCCCAAACTGCCATGCTCAGATTTGGCTTCTCCTGATCAAAATATAGTCCAATAATTTATATTATGGTAGAAATCTCTTATCCTGGTGAGATGTCAGCAATGTGAAAGGGACAGAATATCTGACTATGCAGGGGCTTCTCGTACTCCAGTAGTGACTCCGACAAGTTTCATATTACTGAAAAGCACTATTCAGTTCTTATTTATTTTGATGGCAATAGTATAGTTTTATAAAAGGCAAAACATCTACCTACAAATGTGCACATTTTGAATTTGGACCTTGATCACTTGATTCATAAAAAATATATGGTACCAACACACTTAATTACTTGATAAAAATGTGCCCCTGTTGCTGTGCTCTAAATACACTGATGTTGCTGTGATTAAAATGTTTTTACTAAGGATGCCCTCTGGTGGAAGGACAATGGTGTTCGACAAGACTTCCATTCATTACTCCTGTGGTGTTCAGTTTCACTGGCCATTCATAATCACTTCCTCCTGCTTTGTAAAATGCTGCATTAATATGTGAGCAGAAAACATGTCTAATAAAATTATGATATTTTACATATTACCATTTCTAAGTAAAAGGTTTTGTTTGTCTTTATTTTTCCCCCAGACTTGTGTATGTTACCTTGATTCATGTCACTTCAGAGTTTATTTTAGGGAAAAGAAATTTCTTGGTGCTGAAAGGGAAAGTGCCCAATTTTGTAGCTTTTATCTAAATTCTAATGCTATCACCAGATTAAATAAATCTGTATTTTTAATTAGATGATTATTACTTTTCTAATCTGCATGCATGTGTGCATTAATAGAACAACTGTTCTAAATAAAAATACACGAACACATCACATTAGCCAAAGGTATAGAAGATACATTCTCCTTTGAGTGACAGAGAGCTGAAAATGCCTCTTCTAAGTAGCTTTTGTCATCTGCAGTTTTTTGGGTCACAGAGTCATATTGCCAGAAATCCTCTGGCCTTCAATAATCTAAAGCAGTGGTTCCCAATTAGCTAATTACTGAGGCCCTCATATTTTTCAAAAGAGAAGCCACAGACCCCCTACGTTTGAACATTTTGATAAATCAGAAGCATTTTTGGGGGGGAAATGTGTGGTGGTCCCTAATAAGCAAATGATTATAGGTATACTAAAAAAACATACCATAAAATTTGTGATATTACCACAAATTGCCTATCCCCAGACAATAGGAAAAGGTTGTCTCCATTGGTCCACTACAACTGAATAATAAAAAACCCACAACTGAGGCTATTTATTTAAACATGCTATTCCTTACTTGTAATTTAAGACGGTAAAGGTAAAGTGACCCCTGACGGTTAGGTCCAGTTGCAAACGACTCATCTTGCCTTATTGGCCAAGGGAGCTGGCGTACAGCTTCTGGGTCATGTGGCCAGCATGACTAAGCCACTTCTGATGAACCAGAGCAGCACATGGAAACACTGTTTACCTTTCCGCAGGAGCAGTACCTATTTATCTACTTGCACTTTGATGTGCTTTCCAACTGCTAGGTTGGCAGGAGCAGGGACGAGCAACAGGAGCTCACCCTGCTGCAGGGATTCGAACCGTGACCTTCTGATCGGCAAGCCCTAGGCTCAGTGGTTTAGACCACAGCGCTACCCGCGTCCCTAATCTAAGACGGTACATTTTAGCAAAACTTTGCAGCATATGATTCTGCTAACTGAGGGATCGTGCACCTTCAAAGGCATAGGTGAAGGCTTGCTAAAGTATTGGCGAAGACTGAGTAGAAAGCAGGTGGAATTTTCTAATGGTGGTAATAGCAGCAGCAGCAGCAGCAGTAGTAGTAGTAATTTATTATCCTGTGCCCAAGTTTCTTTGCTGGCTTGAATACAGTACTTATTTGGACTGAGGTTTCTATTCTTGCTGGTTACCTGAAGTGAAGACCCAAGACAGGTGTTGATCATGATGTGAGCTGCGCACAGGTGGTCTGAAGCGAGCGAGCTACCACCATTCCTGTGGAGCCTCCTTTTATTGAGACAAATATGCAAGCCAGGCAAATACATTTTGGGCTGTGACCTTTACACATCTTCCGTCCCGAAATCGTGGGGTGGTACAAAGTTATTTTGGCACCTGTTCCACAGCGTCATTTTCCCCTTGCACAGTGTATGACGAATGGAGACAAACGTCTCATGGAAAAGGGTTACAGAGAGGACACTGCAAACTGCTGAGATCGCGAAAGGTCAGGCAGAGGTGGAACGATGTACAGACAGCTGTGGCTTGTCTGGGGGGGGGTTGCCCCTGCACCCCAAGGTCATGCGTGCAGGCAGACTGTGGCTGCCTGCTGGCGGGGAAGTGTGCTCCCTCCAGACCCCACTCCCCACTCCGCAATATCCCTACAGTTACCCAATAGGAACAACCAACTTTTGTATTTATTAGGATTCTGCTGTACATCTGTTTCCTTCAACCCCAAAATGTAGCTAAATAGCTTCTCACAGAAAAGAAGAAAAGAAAATCCACACAGACTGCCTTTTGCACTAAATAAGCCTGGGTGATGTATTGATACTTTGCCCGGGACAAGTATGAGGGGCAGACTGCGATGGCAGCCTCACTCTGCAGTATATTGCACTTGACTCCTTCCGGCTGGCGTTGGTAGCAGAGAGACTCAGGAGCAGTGGTTTCACCAGTGATATACTGCAGAGTGAAGTCACCATCCCACTCTGCCTTTTTTCATGGCTCAGAGGGAGAAACAAGTTGCATTGGTGAGGCCCTGATACAGCTTGTTCCTTCCTCTGCTTCATTAAACTGCTCCACTGAGGAGCACACAGCTGCCTGTGATCGGGTTGGGGCTCCGTTAAAGTGCTCCCGCACCCCCTCTCAGCTATAGGGAGCCCTGATGCTTCTCCTGCTCAAGGGGGGTGGCGGCAGGACACACAGAAGTAGGCCTCCATTTTGCCTTTCTGGGATTTACTCCCAGCAGGTTCTGTCCTCCTGCCACTGTGGGTGTGCAATGGACTAAGGAATCGGTGTAGGGATACACCTCCCCTGTGGCATGTCCAACATACAACCCATTCTTGGCTGCTTCAGTGCCAGGATTTGGTCAGTGAATCCTTCCAGCTGGCAGAGCCTTCCACAAGCATCCCAAGACATCTCATTCTTCCATCGAAGCTCACTGTCCGCTGGCAAAGCAACAACAGCACCACTTTCAATGATGACTCAGCTGGAGGATTTCAGGGATAGGATTGCATGCTAATAGTTTTATCAAAAAATATTTAATTAAAAAAAAAATTGCTGCTCAAAAGGTATTCATTTGAGTGATTAAAAAGATTCTTAATGCATTACTCTAACTGGTTGATTGACTAAACGTTATAGTTCCAACACAGGGGTAGCCAACCTGGTGCCCTCCATATATTGTTGAGCTCCAGCTCCCATCATTCCTGACCATTGGCCATGCTGGCCAAGGATGATGGGAACTGGAGTTCAACACCATGTACCTAACAAATGTGAACAATATCTTGCAAGCATTACTATTTTATTTCTGTGCAGTACACCATCAGTGTGCATGCTGCTTTGCAGAGTCCAGGTAGCTTACAATCTAACTTTAGATGGGAGGGGAAGAGAAAAGAGTATGTTATTTGAATATCTTTCATATTCATTCATAAACAAATAGCACAACCAGAAAACATTTAATTGTCTTTACTAGCCTTGGTTGTGTGATTGTAGCAGCTAGGACAGTCAAATTAAGTAGCTGAATTACTCATTACTTTATCTCCTGTTTCATTGTGGTGTGCCAGGAACAGAAAGAAACAACTTGGCCACCTACTGGCAACATAATTGAAACATCTATGACACTGAATTTGCCCCATTAGGAAAACAGATATTGGTTTTATACATTGTTACATTAACAAGAATACCTTCACCCAATTCTGGAAAAGTAGCTGAAGACCAAGTAAAACAGAGTTAATAAAGAAAATGTGGGAACAAAGAGAAATTATTAGAGTTTACAGCACTCATAAGGACTCCACAAAAATATAAAGTAATTCTGAAAAGCTGGAAATCTTTAATGCAATATATAAAAGGGAAATTAGAAATTAGATCATATATGCTATAAAATAAGCAGTTGTAATAGATTTCTTTGGCTGCAGTCTATACCCTGGGATTAAGCCCCACTGAACTTATGTGACTTAATAGTAGATATGTATGGGATGTTTGCAGTAGATCAGATAATATTTCAGGTTTTATATTCCATCCCCATTTTTTGATGCATTAAGATAATGTACAATATTGTAGCTAAACTCTATTGTACATTTTGCGTTTTCATGAGAAAAGGTATATGATGCTTTCATAAACTGATTATGTCTTTACATCGCATGGTGCCATTTTCCAGGGATACAGATTTAGTGGAAGGAGAACCTGATTGGTCTCTGCTGCAGCTGCGGCTTTGGATAAGGCCATCATGCAATAACAAATCACGATGTTTTCAGGCATTGGCTGGAAGCAGACAAATCTGCCTGAGCAGCAGCCAACAGGACTGCAGTTACCAAGAAAGCCCCCCCACCCCCGTTACTGCATTCTGATATGACAATGGAGAGCCAAGCATGATGCTGAAAAGCACTGCAGCTTGTCATATGGGTGGCATCACTTTTCAGCTGAATGCT